ACAACACCGCTTGACTTAGTTTACCTACAACAAACTCACCACCATAAGCGGCATCGGCGTGAAGGTAGATGAATTCTCTGTTACAAATCGGTCCCAATTCCCTCAATGAGTCGACAGCGCACGTTGCCGTTGTACCCAAAGTGGCAAGCATAAAGAATGGAATAAGTCCTCGAGCGCGATCTTCCTGAAGGGAGAAGATTAAATCTCTTCGACCTCGAAATCCCTCAAGGAAACCGGTCGGAACTTTTCTGATGGCCGTTGCGAACCGGGTGATAGATAGTACTTGTGAGATGACTGGGTTTGTGGGCCTGACTGAGCGAAGAATTTGGGTGGCTGTTGGCATAGAAAGTGTACTCTCACGTTAAAAGCGGATCTTGCAATGGTAGGGCTATTGGAAAATCAAGTCAGGGATGGTCAGTGATTCACGGATGAATAAAAAACCGAGAAAAATGGCCTAGAACTCGGACCCCTTACCCGTTGATTTGCGCATTGATGCGATTCTCATCGGTGCTGCCCTCTTCAACGCTAACGCTCTCTCTGCTGAACGGCTAGAGACTCAGGCACGAGACGACACGAGAGGGGGTGTACCCCGCCAGTAGAGAGCCAATTGCACTGCGGGAAGGCCATGAAAGGCCGGTCGGGTCATATCCCGCGTGCCGCTCCGCACCCTTAGGTCCGCCTGTCTCTCCGATAGGTGAGTTTCCCCTTCTTCGACCTTCGTCCTTACCGTGAAATACTCTTTTAAATAAGTGTAGGTGTATCATTCAGAAAATGAACAAGAATATTTTGGTAGGATTCGCGGCGAACTTCTTCAGCGGTAGCTATTAAAGCTAGTTAGTTAGGGCGAGTGTCAAGCTTTTCCAACCAGGACACACATCACTTCTTCTTCTAGATTTCAAGCACATAACATAACATTTATGCCTTCAAAAAATGAAAACTAATTTTATAGTAAGTCATACCAATCACCATCGACTACAGTGAATAAACAGAAAATCATACCCCTATGGCAGTCTCCAGCGTCTCTTTTGTGACCGAATAATTCCTCAGAACGGGATCAAGAATGGTCCTCAATTTGCGAAACTTCACTCCGCAAAACGCTGCCACTTTTTCCACAGAATAGTGAGCCTAAAACTATCTATGTTCACTTCAAGATAGGCAAGACTGCAATTGAAGCATACATAGGTGACATAAAACACGAGCAATGGATAACTTTCGCAGCGTCAAGCGGATCGTTTTTTAGGAGAAATCCGTTGGTTCTTTCTCTCGTGCGTTAAAAAGGGGTGCTCTATTCAGGTCAACATGTTGTATTCTAGTGTTCGACCAGCCCCAGGGGCACGTCCCCGCTACTAATCCTGCCCTCAGCTTGGGGGAGACAGGGTTGCGTCAAAGGACCGTCCATTGAACGCGTGATGTTGTAGCTACCCTCCCTGTTGAGGCACTCTTTTCTCTGAGGTCGCGCTGTCTGGAGTCTAGCGCAGAGTATGGCTGGTCCTATGACGCAACCCTGTCTCCCCAACCATAGGATAGGACCAGGGGTGGGGGAATACGTCCCCCTAGGGGAAGGATAGGGTACGGCTCCATGACATCTGTTATACTTAGCAATGAAATGACAACGAAATTCAGGCCATGCCGCGCTGTTTAAAGGAGGGATTTTACGATTAGAATGGAGGTCGAGGAAGAAGTAATTCACCTAGTTGAGTAACCCACGGACCTCCTGAGGGTGCGAACTGATGCGCAATTCGCATCGAAAAATTTGACCTCGGCGACCTATTATGCCTCAAAGTTGGCGGGTCTGGCGATCTCCGCCCACCGACCAGCTGATCACTCGCCGCAGATCTATACGTGGGATTGATTAGATAGCAGAGAGAGCGTGATGTTGAGGAGGGCACAGCGATAAGAGTCGCATCAATGCGCAAATCAGCGGGGGGGAAGGGGTCCCATTTCTCGGGTTCTGGGCCGTTTCTCATGGTTCTTCCTTCTTTCGTGTACCACTCACCATCCCTGAGGTTAATTTGAAATGGGTTGCCTTCCCAGCGTGAATTCGTCCTTTAAAGCTTTTTTCGTATTGCAAGCGGGATATGAATTTATCCAAAACTGGGTTTGATTGCATTGCATGAGCGTAAGGCATCGAAAATATTTCTTTGGAAAAGGGTATATTCTTGCAAAATAAGGGGGGCTGCATTGTATCACTGCGTATTAGTTGAAGCCGCAAGTACACAATTTTTTTTCAGGATCAAAATCTCGATATGGCTAGAAATTTGTCCCAAAAGGTATTTGATTCTCTAAGTACTAGTAAGATTATCACATTTGTTTTCCACGAAAAAGCTTGGTAGAACAGAAGAGCCATTGGTGAGCCCAGGCCCTGCATTGGGCCGTAGTCACTCGCATTTGCAAGGCTCAGAGCTCAGATTTCCTTGCTTTCTGCGAAATGACCATGATTCCCGTTTTCAGCATACCAGGCCATCTCCGCTTACAAATTCTTGGCCGGTTAAGTAACCTACATTGCTTAGGACAGCTTATCATTAAATTTTCCAAAAGAAAGGCTTCCAGGCCTTTTTGTATTACTGTACCGTCTAGCGCAGGCAAACCCCTGCTTTGTGTTCCGTGCACGGCCCTGCCGCCTACAAAAATAGTTCCGAAAAGAGCAGCATGGTCTGATTACCATTTTTTACCATTGTGAGAAGGGGAAATAAAGATCTAGAGATTAGAATGAGTAAGATAATGATGGTAGGAGTATCGTAGTCGAGAATTTTATTCGTCACTAGGCTTAATACCATTTCAGGTTCAGGTAGTTGCTAACCCATGGCGACTGGTAGAACGGATGGTAGGAACGACTAAGACTTCACTTTGGTGGGCTAACTTGACCTAATAGAAGTAGTGTGAATGGGATGCAAGACAATCTGCATCAGAATTTATGCATTGTGGGTGCATTTATTATGGGGGAAGAGACGTTCTCTGCGAGCATGTTGGGTCAAGAATTTGCGAATGTTAAGGGCCATAGGCGAAACTCAGACAGCCCTTTTAAGGAGGTCCCGTGGGTGGTAGTGCCAGGTGCGCAACTGTAGGGGTTGCGACAACTCAGCCTCTTGACTTCTACGCAGCGTAGAGCCAGAAGGTTCGTATTTTCTGTTCTTCTGACGATATTTCGTTTTCTGTTCTACTCTTGTACTCTATTTCGAATCCCTACTTTCATATTCAGGTAGAATTACCATACAAAATTGAACCCGTCCTATGCCTTCGAGAAAGTTTACAAAGGCAGTCACCTGATCTGTGAAATAGGCAATCAGTCTACGGAACACTATCGGATCGTGATATGGAGAGGTAATTACGTCTGGATCTTCCTCTTCCACCTAAACTTGTACGATGAACGAATTTTTAGTACTGTTTCAAAGTGGCTTAAGGTTAGATCAAAGGGATTGAGAAGACCGTCTTTACCGTGCGGCGAACATCTTCCAACAACTGGCGCACAGTTTTCTTGAGTCCTCCACATGCAGGTAGGGCTGCTGGGTTGTTTTTGATCATCTGCATAAAATAACATGATGAGCTGAATTTAAGTAATAGAGGCCTACAAAGTATCTGCCAGAGTATCTGCGCTTTTATGATGCGCCACGCATTTTACTTCTATTCGCAAACGTAGTCGAAT